AACACCACCCCTCCGCTCCACGGGCGGTCTGATGTCTTCGGAGAGTGCAATTTCAGCTTTTTGAAAAACTCGCAAGAGCAAATTAATTTCAAATTGGACGAGAAAAACCACATGACTACTTATTAATAATATAAACATGAAAAATTGTCGTGGAGGAAGTGCTGGAAGATCTTTCTTGAAGCCATTTTTTCAAAGTTTCCGCACAAAATTTTCGTCATCATTTTACGTGATATCATTGTCTTATAAAATTTCCTATTGTCTTTCAGCCAATCATAATCCAGAATTACGATGTGTAATTTGCACTGGTGTTACACTTGAACTGCTCTGTTCTCATCCAATCAGAATCGAGTAATTTTTTCACGTATGTTATTAGGACGCAAATTGTGTATCTATTTTACACGGGTTTGTGGCTTACGGAATTTTTGGATGTTGTTTTTCGGCTTTACCTCTAACCTCTTCGTACGGTCATTCTGCGTTCTTCCCTGCAGATTATCGAACAAAAGGGAGACCACTCGCAATCTAACTCTCTTTCACGTAACGCTTTGCTTTCGGACCTCTCTCTCGTTGAGCGTAGCGTTACGTGACATAGATAGGAGACTGGACCAACTCGGGCTTCTCAGGCGACAGCAAGCGATAACAGGCTCACTTCAGGCCGAATGACAATCTTGTTCCCAGAGGGGCGTTGCCAGAGACCTCAGGAGCGCTTTCCATTTGACTGGAAAAACCGGTGAGAATTTTCCGGCGAATGGAACAGTACAATTTTTCCTCCAGAAAAATGGAACGGGGGCCGCTGTATATACCATTTGACAAAGATTGCTTTTTTTCCTGCGAGAGCCTGGGTGCTAACAGCTTGAAACAACAAACATGCCTGCCGAATTTGCAGTGGTGTTTGAAGTTTTGTTGGAAGATACTTACGCATTTCACTTTATCAAAGAAGATGATGATGACTTGCCCATGTTTTCTACGGCAGCATTAATTCTGAAGAATTTTGAATAGGTATCATGGGTATTTCGAACAAACATTCCATAGATGAATTTCAAAGTCACTTCCGTATGAAAAGGACCACTTTTGAAATCTTAGTGAGGAGGTAGTGGCCACGGGAGTGTTTCCCGTCGGAAACCCATTCCGTAGGCAAGTTTTAGATGCACGGAAACAAGTTTCAATCTTCTTATGGTGCATTACAAACCAGGAGACAACGCGGCTTATTGCCGATCGATTTAATGTTACATATAGCAGTGTTTCTTGAGTGGTTCGGCGCGTTATGGAAAGTGTACTGGCCTTAAGAAACCAATACATTAAGTGGCCAAATGGTAAGATTGCTTTTTCTCTAATCTCTCTTATCAAAAA